GCAGCAAAGCAATGGTTTATTGTTATATTGTTTTGATTAACTAAGTTCTTCAATTTTTCTAACTTATATGTTATTTCATGTATTTAGCTCCAGGTAGGAATGATTTACTTCTGAAGAGAATGCTCTGCTATTCAAAAATAAATGTAAGAAAATTTTAGGAATTATATATTATTGAATTTACAAGATAAGATTTACAAATCAATTTAACCACAGTTGCTCTTTTATTTCATTTTTTACATTTTATTTTTTTTAGGTCTCTGCCATTTTGACCCTAACTGAACTGTGTTGAGAGGAAGTTAGAATATGGCTTTATAGTTGTAAGGTTTTGAAAAAATATTGTTTCTCCTTTCTTCAGAGTAGCAGGGACATTGGCAGGGTAAACTGCCCATCTTCTTTTCAATCATAATATGTGCTAGTAAACTTTTCAAAAATGTGTCCCCAATAGTTTGTTGTTGTTGTGTTAACCCACAAGTGGAAGATCAATAGCAGTGCCCCTTGTAGGACTTGATCACGAGGCCTTCCTCAGGTGGGTCTGTTTATCATTAGATTACTAATGTTGTACTGTCTTGCTGTCAAGATCAATTTCATTGTTTAATCTATCAAAAGATGCCGCAGCTCAGTTATTTTTATGTAGATGTATTACCATATTTTTTGATGGGAGAAATTGTTTCTACTTTGAATTTATGATAATAATCTGATTCATGATATTTGGCATTATTGATGAACTCCAGTTTTAATGGATTTAGGATGTAATAGTTTAATTGAAAACAGTATTAATGATGTCCAAAACAGAGGAATTAAGGTCTTTCAAAATGGTAAGTAATGAAGAAATATGTTTGCCACAACATCCCCACCCCTTAACCAGAGCTATTTCAAAGTTAAAAGCAACCCCAACAGATCTTCAGATGTAGCTCAATTTTCACATGTACTGACTTTGTCCTATGAGGATACTTTGATACATCAGGTGTTTTTGAAATACACAGTTTTTAAAAATCTAGCTTGACATTTCTATTTTCCTTGGACACTACACATTTCTCTCTCTGTTGGATAAGCCCACCATGGTCCATTCAATTTATAGAAATTGACAAGGATTTGGGAGATCCAGGCTTGAGTTCCAGCCCTTTGCTTTACCCTCTGTTGTGTAACAATGGCAGTTCCTTTCATCTCTTCATACTGGTCACTCCACTTATGAGAAAATTACTGTAAAATCTGTTTAGATACTGTCTAAAATAATGAATGCCAAAAGTCAATGAAAAATAGAAAGCACCGTATGAATCTAAGAAAACAAGTCTAGATTCACAGAAAAAGGAAGCATTTCTATGAAAGAGATACCTCATAATTATTTACATGATAAACAGTGTTTGGTCATTAGTTTGTAAATTTCAATATGGCTAGGTTCTTGCCCTTCCTTTGGATGTTAAATTTCAATTATAAGCAATATTTGTGGCTTGGCATAAGACAGTTGTCATTTTAGTGTTTGGCTCAGAGAGACCAAGACTAATATCCATTCGTGTTTTGTATTGCTTATTACTAACAGGAGACAGTGTTTCTGCATGGACAAATTCTAAGTAAAAACCCTATCCTTTCAAAATATAAAGATATTTCTAAGAATACATTTTCCAGTGAAGTATTAATCTCATCGTTTTCTAGAAAATGTCCTGTACTCTATATTCAAAGCTCAATTTTTATCCCAAAACAAATCATTAGATTTGAAGAATGGGTCAAGGAAATAGACATTTATGAATAATTAGAGCATTTTATGATATTAATTATAGTATTAGTGGAATAGGATTTCAAGTATCCGAGTCAAAATATTTTTCAATTTCGGTTCCTTACTTCTAGGTTTTATTTGCAACTGCTATTACATATTGCATAAAGGATGTTAGGACTTTGATGAATGGACAGCCTAGCATCCCTGAGTTTTATCATCGTTTATGAATATCTATTTAAAGTTGACTTAGCATTTCAAATGTTCACTCCCAGCAAATGGAAACGAGACCTTTCATTAGAGGAGGAACCATAAGGGCATTTAGCCCTTGCCTCAATTTCTAAAGACGCTTCACGTACGGGCTTTCAATGTTATCTCTAAATGGGGTTACCAGAGGATACCGACAGGATCAAAAGACAGGGCTTTAATTATGGAATATACTTATTCAAATGTAGCATAATTTAAGAACTTTTTAAGACTATTTCTTCACTTTTAAAAATACTCTAAGAACTTCAGCAATGAAGGTTGCCTAGGATTCTTAATTTCAAAGAAGGCTGGGAGGAAAAATTCTAGATAAGGAAAAAGAAATTATTTTCCGTCTTCACCTGCATGGCAAGAGACATATTATTTCAGGAATGAGTGTGAGATGTGAAGAGTCTGTTCTCAGGGTCTTTTGTCCTTGTGCTTAAGGAGATTCCATGGTCTGTGGGCCCCCGTGAGCATGAGGTGGGGAAGAAAGGATTCAAGGAGAGTGGAATGACTTGGCAGGTCTCCCCATAAAATGGATTCTGAACACCAAGAAAAGTCCCCCCCCAAATAAGTGCTTTTATCCACTTACATAACATGTAGTGACATGCCAAGTGTTGTGCCAGAATAACATTGAGAGAGTAATGTGATAAAATACTTGCTGAAATTTTTTCTAAGATACCAAGTGGGACTTTTTATTTTTTCCATGTGCACACGAACAGAAACATATTTGTGACCATTACAGGTACTCTGTTTTTCAGAGTTAAGCTATAAAAGAAATGTAATGTGATTAATAATTATTATCCAAGCAATGGATTTGGAGCAACATAACGCTAAGACAAGTAATACAGTTGACTCGGGTCCATGATAAACCTGTCTAGGGGGGATTCCTACACAGGTGCCTTCTTAGCATCGGGCAAAGGGCAGGGTGTCTTCAAGTTCACTGTTTGCCCATCATTTTTCAATGGAAGGTTTCTCTTATATAAGGAGAGAAAGATGTAATAGAAATCCCTTATGAAAATCAATAGGACGTTCTTCTCAAATCCTATTTGTTAAATTTACTGTTTGGCCCCCTAGTTCTAATGGACTATGACACTCTGTGAGATAAAATACCAGGACCAGGCATGTCTCATGGATTTTTGTTTTTTTTTTTTAACTTCTGAATTGTTTTAATATAGGTTTTCAGAGAGTCAGGAAAAAAAAAAGATCTCTAGTTAGATAAACAAATCAGGCAAAGGTATGAGTTCCCTCAGTAAAATACATGAATAGGAATCAAATGTGTGTGTGTGTGTGTGTGTGTGTCTAGTTAGGGGAAATAACATAAGAGAAAGTGAGAATTTAAATTATGTATATATTTCCTTATTCAATAACTAATATAAAATAGTTTGATGAAATACTTTCAAATTGTTCTGTTTATTTTTCTCTCATGATTCTTTGTACAGTATGAAGAGGGATGTTTTAAAACTGGACAACAAATTTATTTTACACATGATAGTTATATTAAAACCTTAGTAGAGGGGCGCCTGGGTGGCTCAGTCATTAAGCCTCTGCCTTCGGTTCAGGTCATGATCCTAGGGTCCTGGGATCGAGCCTCGAATCAGGCTTCCTGCACAGTGGGACGCCTACTTCTCCCTCTCCCACTCCTGCTTGCTTGTATTCCCTCTCTCACTTGCGTCTCTCTCTGTCAAATAAATAAATGAAATCTTAAAACAAAACCCTAGTAGAGTTGAATTTTAATACCTGTGTATGGATAATCCATGGAAGATTTTAACTGTGGACTTGTATCTTCTCTTTGGTGTTCTTAAGTCTTTTTTGCCCTGATATAGGATGAGTGATGCAAATTGATTTTATTATGAAATGCAAGACGAAGTGTGCTTTACAATTTTAGATTTTAGTGTGTGGGGTTTCTTCAATGTTGTGGTCTTTCTACAGCATGAATAAATAAAAGTTGACCCCATCACTATTAATGGAACTGGTGCAGCCTTGCACTGAATTTACATAAGGTGCATACTTTCTTCCCTTTCTACAATCTTAAAATACAGTAGTGTTCATAACAGCTGTGCATGTACCTGAGAAATTGTCTGTAGCATTTATGTCTAATTCCCAATTCATTTCTTCTTCTTTATCTTCTATTTCGCCTACCAACGTTAGTGTTATGGTGGAAGACTAATGCCCAGTATCGTACTTCTTAGTAGCACTGTCTGGGTCTGTGTTCGCTTTTATTTAGAGATATTTAACCATCTGTCAGCTTTACTTTAGAAGTTATTTGCTTTGATGACAGAAATACCTTGGTTTTCGAAAAGTTAGTATTTTAAAAATTACTGATGGCAGTATTGATTTCTAATGTGATTCTAGATCATGGTTCTGAAAATTGAAGTTGTATAGGGTATAGGGAAGGCTTGCTCTGACAATCAGTGAGCTTTGTGGACATAAATGATGAAAGACTGGCATAAGATAACAAACGGAAGGAGTGGCCAAAATGCATTTCCAATGTGTCATTTTCTGTGGAAGGGATGATTCACTGCAGTAAATATATATACGAGTTCTCTTAGAATTACCTGTTATTTTCAACTAAAATGTTTTGAAAAAGCAGTAATGAAGAAATGTTCGTTAATTCAAATCCAAAGTTTCTTGTTTTGAGTGGGGGCTAAATTTAAAAAAATATGTAAAATTGGATAAAACTATGATGGTGCTAGCAGTAAGTTTAAAAACAACGTTGACAATTTTTGATCAGGAAAATTTACTACGCTCTCTGCACACTGTGATTACTTTTCCTAAAAGAAATGCAGAAATACAAATAGATCTCCACCCAGATGTGGTTGGTTTTTTTTCTCCTCCACATCACATTATTAGCTATTATTAAGAGACACGCAGTCAAGTTGGATAGATATTTCTTGAAATGATGCATGATGTGCGGTGCATGCTTTCATTGTGCTTTCTGCCATTATGGAACAATGAGTCTTATTTGGAAATACAGTGATCATTTCTGTTGACTCATACTCAGTCAGCTTATATAATAACACCTCTATTTTGTGAATCATTTCAGATTTCAGAGAGCTATGCCTTCCTACCAAGAGAAGCGGTGACACGGTTTCTAATGAGCTGCTCAGAGTGCCAGAAAAGAATGCATTTAAACCCAGATGGAACAGATCACAAAGGTAGCCACAGTGTCAAATAGTGAGATTTAAAGTAATTTTATTCATAATGGCAATTTATATCTCACATTTTTATAAGAATGTAGTAGACTGAAACAGTTCAACAAGTCAGATCATCTCATTTATTGGAGTAGGAGGCAGTGAATTTTGAATACCCACTTACAGAGGAAGTCTGTGCCCTTTCTCTGAAGAAAGGCAGTTTGGGCTGTGGCAAATAATTTTTTTCCTATAATAATATTTTAACTTTCACATATTGTGTGTATTGCATAGTATGTTAAATATATTTAGCAAGGAAATTGATGTTCCATCGGTGTCCTTTTAAACCTACCAATTCCTTATTTCTGAAAGTGATGAGTAGCGCAGAGCTCCTCCACTGAGTTTTTACGTGCAGGTTATAATATGTCTTTAGTGCTCTTTAAAAATTATGTAGATGTTTTTCCTAATCTATCAGTTTCTCTCAGAGTTTAAATTAGTCTCAAAAATACATTTAGGCTAGTCCATTCCCATGTGTTGGGGGATGAATAAACAAAAAGAAAAAGATCAAAGAAAAAACACACAAATCTCCTTTTTCACTCAAGTATCACATAGAGAAAGTAGTTATGCAGCAAAGGCGAAAACTACGAAAAATACAGGTAATTGTGTTTAATCACTATGTTGGCTTCACCCACTGTTACTGGGGTATCAAAAAGCTCTGCAGTTAGAAATAACTAAATCTGTATCGTTAATTTGTCCCATGTACCTTTGTATAGTTATTTTTTCCTACAACTCATCCATACGGCTACCAATCTCTTAAAGACTTGGTATCTAGAATCCTGTTTCAATGTGAACAAATTGGATCATTCTGAAATTACAGGTAGAATGCGGTATCACTTTCATACCCATTAAAAATGCTTTATTACAGATAATGGAAAACCTCCCACTTTGGTGACCAGCATGATTGACTACAACATGCCGATTACCATGGCCTATATGAAGCACATGAAACTGCAGCTGCTAAATTCACAGCAAGATGAGGTAAAATGGAAATATCTACTTCTGAGTCAGAATGAAGTTTGATAACCATGACTATCATATTAAGCATGACGGCATTTTGAAGACGGTAATTTATTTTTTAATGAAAGGAATGTCACTGGGATAAATGGACAGAAACTTCTGGTCCTTGAGAGAGAGTCCCTGTCTCAACACAGTTACCTTTGTGTTCTGTGAGAATGTGCTCGTTCCCAAGAGAGATTCATTTTTCCTTAATTGACTGCCATCAAGCTGGCCTCCGTAAAGGGCTAGAAAGTTCAGGGGAAGATATCCCAGATGAGTGAGTACTCAAGGAAAGTATCCAAGCCTTTAGTACAAAGGTGATTTTGCCTGGAAGTCAAAAAAAGTCATTTTAATAAGAATTTCAAGTATAATAAATTTTCTACCATCTAAATCTTTCATGTGTTTTAATGCTTTTTTTTTTCATTATTCTCTATATTAGTTTGTCTACTTCTCTGCATTTTCTAGAGATAAGTTATGGTGATCCTTCCTAATTAGAGATATTTTGATGTTTCCAGTTATTCTGTTTGATTTGTACCGTAAGAATCTAGAAATGTGCTTGCTGGCATGTATTAGACACAAATGCACATTTGTTTACTCTTCTCTAGGATACTAATTAACTGATCAGTTAATCAGTTAATCAGGCAGAGGCCAAGTTATATATATATTACCCCCAAAACCTGTAGCAATGGGGGCTTAGGAAATCCCCTTAAACTGGTTAGTGGCCATTAATCAATGGGCACATTCAAATTATCAATATTAGGAATAGTTTCTCAGGCTAATACATACACTCCTTCTTAAAATTTCTCCATAACAGGAAATGTGGTTAAATACCTTTCAAATATAGCATTATTTGGTATAGTATAAAATTCTTTCAATTTTACTTTGTTGAACTTACTTTATTTAATAAAACTCATTCTTTTTTGTTTTCCTCCATATTTGAATAGGTTTAATCTTAAAACAATATTTGTAAAATTGTTTTATCTCAAAAAGTAAGGGTATACTCTATGAGATGATCTGTATCTGTACAGTGGCAGTTCAGATTTTATATTACCAGATGGCTACATATAAATGATTAAACAAATAGTAATAAAATCACTGGGTTAAAGACATGAGAGACAACTAAAAAAACATTAATGTTCATCCATCCTGGAGAATGGAATAATTATTCCCATCATTTATTATATAATTGGAAAAAAATTTAAAACCTCATAAACTGGTTCGAGCTGTCAAATTATTTGTAGGAAGCTCATTTAGATGTTGGTACATTTATTTCTAGGCTAAAAAGTAAGAAGATCAACTTTGTGCCAACAGTACAGCCCACATATGCTGAATCCTTCTGGCTTCTAAAACATCACAACTATTTCACACAAAGGAAGTAGATTCTTTTAATTTATAACTGGATTAGGAAAATGACTCTCAATCTTACATTTTGAAGATACCAATTGGTTGTACACTGCCTCAAAAATATTCAGATAAGTGACTAGATCATTTGTAAAATTTTAGAAGTTATGATTATTGAAAGATAGGAAGGTGATTAAGTAAATCACATTAAAAAGGAATTCAAGTGAGATATTTCTTTGTGCTCAGTTATATTTAAAATTTATTGTGTTAATTAATTCAACAATTATTTATTGAGTACCTTCTATGTAACTGGTCCTCTTGTAGGTAATGGAGGTAAACAGAGAGTAAATTGACAAAAATCTTTCCCTTATTAAACTTAATTCTAGTGAGGGGGAGAAAAGAAAGGAAGTAAGCAATGAAAGTATGTTTATGAGAAGATACAAAATGCGATTGAGAAAAATAAAGACAGGAATGGGAATTCCTTTAGGATTACAAAATGCCTTATCCAATGTAAGATCAGTTGACCTTCTTATAAATTGTTGATGGAGTTTAAGCCAGAATAAATTTACAGGGAGAGAGTTAGATAATAATTATTAAGGACTTTTAAAAGTTATTCATAGACTTTGATTAGAAATTCATACTCAAGGGTGTGATGAATGCAACAATTTGTATATTAGGATGTTTGTTGCATTGCGAATAATTAGAAGTATCTTCAAGATCCAATGATGAGGAATTGTCGGATCGTCACTGCCCAATATGATAGCCACCAGCCCTATGTGGATATTTAAATTTAATTGAAAATTAGTTAAATTAAAGTTGAATTTTCAGTTCTTCAGTTGCACTAGCCATGTTTCAAGTGCTCAATAGCCAAGTGTGGCTCGTAATCACCTGAGTAGGGAGTATTCAAGAATCCATTCCATCAGCACAGAATGGTTTTCTGAACATTACTGGCTAAATAACCAGCATTAGAGGCGCCCCCTGGAGCTTATCAGACTGCATGTTGCAGGACCCCCACCCCAAGATTCTGATTCTAGACATAGTGTGTGACACCTGGTGATCTGAATTTTTATCAATATCTACCCTCTTGCACACTAAGGTCTGAGGTGGTGCACTTCATGGAAAGGCCAGTAACATAGGCTTTACGTTGATTTGAGCATAAGGTAACTGACAAACAGAACAAAGATGAGATTGGTGAGAGTGGTTTTCAAACAATCTTATGGAAACCCCTTAATGTTTGACAGAGCAGCTTCCACATTACGTGGTAGATTTAGATGGCCTTGAATATAGCTGCAAATTTATGAGCATAGAAGAGGACCTCTCTGAAGTGGAAAGATTAACAGTAGTCAATGAACAGGACTGGTGGGGATAGAAATGGGAGGTGGGTAGATAACTAGGAGACCATTATTAATCATTTGGGAAATGGCAACATGAGATCAGAACAGTAACAATGGAAACCAAGAGTTACATTCTACAGATCCTTTAGAAGTAAAATCTGGAACCTGAAAACTAAAATAAGATATGGAACAGTGATCAGAGATCTGAATTTTGCACAATGGTCTTAAAAGGACCGGGAATGAAATTATTTATTACAGGAAAATATGTATTCTGATTTTTAAAGCTTAAGTTTTAGGGAAGCAAATGCTATGATAATTGGCTATGGTTTTCATTATGATAAGATTTTAGTAACATAAGGAATTAGGCCACACTGTGGGATGTGAAGACTCTTTTTCTGGTTATCATTCAGAACAAAATACTCACAAAGGAAAGAATTTAGATGAATGGCCTACAGATGATCATGAATAAAATAAAACACTTAAATGTCATATCAATCAAGTTTTCTGATTCTTCACTCTCAGAAATCTTCAGTAATTTCTTTCCAGAGTGATTACATTGCCTCTATCTGATAATAGATAAACTCCACAACATTATATTTTATACACTTTGCCACTTCTTATTAAAAGATAGTAATTTAATCATTTAATAATTATAATAGAACTTACAGGATGAATTCATGCACTTAGTTTCATTAAAGGTCTTTATAAATTAAACAATTGGATAATTTATATTCTAATAAGCAGTAGAATTGTAAAAAGTGAATTTCATAGAAAATCAAGGAGGAAAATATTTAAGAGAGTCATAATCACTAAGCCACTCATGATAAATAGAATAGTGACTTTTTTAAAAAAATAAAATAACAAGCACATTTGGTTATAGAACCATTTAATTTATTGTCCACATTTCTTAAAAAGCATGCTGATATGAGTGTTATTTATTGCTGGTAAAATGTGTGTTGATTATTCATAATGCCTAATAGCAATTTATATAATGATTCTGTAGATCAGAGGTTGTGATCTCTTTGTGTCTAGCTTTTCTTTAAACACACATACATTCTCATAGACACATACATTTTGCACACACACTTATTCACTTGCACACATAATATATATCAGTCGGTATATATTGGAAATGCTATTTTACTGGATTACACATAGTTAGCTATTTGTAGTATATATAATAAATGCTGATTCTAAAGACTATGTTTTTATAGAATACACAGCTATTTTATAAACACATGTTGGTCATCTTTACTATTACATTTAAATTTGTTTTTTGTATATGTTCATAATATATAATCAACATGAATCCTATTTTATGCTGTAGAATTTCCTATATATTCTACATAAAAATATTAAGCAGTTGACACTTATTATATATCTGACATTGTTCTAACTACTCTAAGTATTATTATATTTCCTTTATATCTTTCCTTTATATCTTTATATAGCCCTATGAGACTGATGCTATAATCCCCATTTTATAGATGAAGAAATTGAGGCACAGACAGGTTAGATAACTTGCTTAAGGTACCACATCTAAGTGGCAGAGCATGGATCTAAATCATTTCTGTCTTGCTCTAGAGAATGTGCTCCAAAATACTCTCATATCGTAGACACTATAGATAGTGTATATAGTAAATATATATCACTTATTTATGTGTGCATATATATGTATGTATGTATATGTATATGGTACACACTGATAACATTGATGTGCACATTGAATTCTGTTATTTTTTCTCTTTTAACATATATATTTATTTCAGATGCTTTGGATTTTCTTAGAATTTAGAATTGGAGAAAACATAATGTACCAAGAGAGAGGGCATGCCGCCGGGAGAAGTCTATGTGGCTGATTGCCCAGAGGCCTCGCAGGGTGGCATTTCCTTGCTGAATTAATGAAGAGCTAGTGCTACTCAGTAGACCCAGACATGATCAGACCTTTCGTAAAGGAAGGACACCAAAATCACCTTGACCTGACCTATGGATCAGAATGCCAATTTGTTAGTCTACTAGAACGTTCCTGCCCCCTAACCATAGCAACTTCTTTGCTGATACCAAGATGTCCTTTATGAAGCCAAGGTAACTCTTCCTGTTCAAAGAAGCTATTTTCTCAAGCCTGAGTGACTTCATATAAACCCCAGTTCTGGTGTATAATAGTGGGATACATTCTTTCACTGCTCTGTGCCTCATGATTTCTCAGTCTATAAAATGGGATGAATCCTGGGACCTGACTCCCAGGTAGTGATGAAACTGAAGTGAGTGAACGAATAGAAGTTATCTGTAGCATAAATGCCACGACCACCCCAGCTGTTGTTAATCATTTGATTAATGCTAACCTTTCAGATCAGACACTTACAAATTAAAGTCAAACCTGGTGATTTCGATTCAGTTCTTCCAGTATGTCACCACAGATTCTTCAGGCCCCTCTGCCTACATGAGCCCACCATTGGCCAAAAACCAGTTCTCCAGCAGGAGTTTGCTTCAGTGAAATAGCTACAGCAAAATACCTTGAATTTGATTTAGGTTAATTTCTGGCAGGTTTTGATGAATTGGGTGTTTGGAAAACTGGCCTTTTGATAATTTTGCCACTCGGTGAACTGGCTTTTGGGAAATGGAACTTGCACACTTCTACCCAGAACTTCTTTTGGGGGTTGCCGTACAGTGTATGTTCGTTTATAAGGAAAGAAGTGATGTGTTAAAACCTTGCTGTCAGTAAATGTGGATTTTCAGTCTATCCGTGTTAAGTTTGTCCATCCTGTTTGCCAATGACAGTTTTTTGGTTAAGGTTTTCTTAGTGCATCCTAAGATTTTTGCTTATACTATTTTATTGTCCTTTCTCTTTGGACTCAAAACATAGACTTCTCTATATGTTATATTTTGTGATTTGTTTCTTCCAGGACTTTTTTTGCTAATTAAAAAATTTTTTTCCATTATTTAGGATAATTCCCCAACTACATCCTTCCCAAACATATTATTTTACTTTTGAAATCTGCCTGTGCGTAGAAACATTGACTTTCCACAAGTTTTGAAATTCCTTAAAGGGAGACATTATTCCAATATTTGTTATTTCAAGTATCTATTAATAGGTTACATGTTTACAAGTTCTGTAAAAGCTTACTTACTGGCTAAACTCTAATTGACCCTGTAGATAATATGGTCACTATTTGAACGTTATATTTTACGATGTTTGATGATATTTTAAAACCATTTTCAGGATGAAAGTTCCATAGAAAGTGATGAATTTGATATGAGCGATTCAACACGGATGTCAGCTGTGAACTCTGATCTTAGCTCCAATCTGGAGGAAAGAATGCAAAGTCCTCAAGCTCTTCATGGCCAGCAAGATGGTAAGCCTTTCAAACCAAATAAACACAACAACAAGAAGCCGAGTTAGAATGTATGAAAACATCTCGTTCTCTTTTGCCAATTTTTTTATCTGTTCCTACAGGGACTTTGTCTACATACTCAAGTTCCATTATCCACTTTCATTATTTTTAGATTCAAGTATTTTGTTCAAAACTAAGGTGAGAGACTTATTTATAAACAGATGTTAGTTATAAAAATCCAAGCTTGCCCATGTTTTGCTCCTTGAACATAAAATGTGTCATATCAGTAGTAGTTTTGGTTTCTGTGATGTTTCCTAGCTTTGGTTTCTTGAGCCATGATAATTAAGAGTTTAAAAATGATCAGAATAATAATTTGGATGTTTTTTTTCCTAATTTTCCTAAATGACAAAATTGTAATTAAAAACAACTTACGTAAAAGGCCAGTTTTACCAAAGTGATTTTGCTGGGTAAGGGGATTTTTGCGGGATTTTGATCTATTTTATTCAGTAGTAAAGGGAAGAAAAAGATCATGATCTTTTATTCCTGAGTCCGTTGGCAATCCCTGAATTATCCAGTTGTTCCTGATGGGAAGACAACTGGGAATGTAGAGAGAGTAGTCTAGGCAGTTAATGTTTTAGGTCTCCTATTTGCAGAGATCTTTGTAAATATAGAATAATGTGTGATAGTAAACATACCTTACTAGGGTAATGGTGAATGAAAATGAAGGGTTATAGATGGCAAATGACCAATTTTATTCAACATTACTTTATTATTCCTGTAATTACAAGTTTACATGAATTTTTTGGACTGTATAGTTTTGTGCATACCTCTGTAGATAGGGAAATGAAACATTTTTCTTGCTTTCTCTGACAGTTGCTATGAAAAGCTTGTTGTAAAAGATTGCTGCATTTCTAGCTGCTACTAGTGATCTGCTTTTGTTGTCAAGGTTTAAGAAATCCCTAGTTTTAAGTACACCAAAAGTTCAAGGAAAAAAAAAAATTGGGGAAGGGTGTTTCTTTTTCACGGTTTAGATGAGTCCAGAAGATGTTGTTGTCCTTGGCACGAATTACAAGGAAGGAGGAGCCTGTTATTGGTGCCTTTAAAATCACATCTAAGCCACTACAGAGTAGCATAGCTATTGGTATAGAAAGGACATTTTCTTGGGAAATTTGTAAGAATAAAGTTTTTTGGTTTAGATATGTTATCTTTTTCATCTTCTTTTTTATTTTTTTGTTTATTTATTTGAGAGAGAGAGGGAGAGTACAGAGGGTGAGTGAGAGGGAGAAGCAGACTCCCTGCTGAGCAGGGAGCCTGATGCAGGGCTCCATCCCTGGACTCTGGGATCATAACCTGAGCCAAAGGCAGACGCTTAACCGACTGAGCCACCCAGGCACCCCAGTCTTTTTTCTTTTAAAATATGAGTAGACATCTTCAGATTTTGATTTTTTATTGGAAATTGTCTAGCACTGGGATTGTCGTATAATAGAACTATATATCAGTGATATATAATCTACTAATATTTGTTCATGTGTTTCGCCTGTTTATGCTATCATCTTTTTTAGTCTATAATTCTAGAGAATGTAAATAATAAGAGGGTGTGTCCCATGATGCAAAATCATGATTTTCTTGTTTGAAGTTGTCAGTTGTGGATCTTTGGCTAGGAAATAGCTGATGTGATATAAATTTATATTGATTTTAATAAAATCCATAAATAAATAAAATAAATTTAATAAAATCCATAAATAAATAAATAAAATAAAATTTAATAAAATAACTTCAAATATTATCTACTCCGAGGGGAAAGTACTTTCTCATCACATACCAATTTTTGCCTCAAGGCTAAGGCCATATGTAGTCATTCCTTCTCCACCCTAAGCCTAACTCTTCCTTTATATAAGGGCCTTCACACTTCTCACTGAGTTTTCTCTTGTAAGAACTTCCTTTCTTTTCCTACATACAAGACTGGTATCATAAATGTCCTCTTTAGAAACCTCCACTGATCCCATTGGGCCCTTCCATTCCATGCCCCGTTCCTCTGTACCATGCCCACAACACTCTTACTAGCAAAACTCGTTTAAGGACTTGTCCCATCATCTCCGCTTTCTCCCTTCCACTCTTTCTACTCATCTCGGGTAAACTTTCATCCTTGTCACTCCACGTTGGGGAGCCCTCCGGTGCAGCCCTTAACTCTCTCTCCCCCCACGTTCACTCTCTAGATGATCACATTGAGTCGTGTAGCTTTTAATACCAACTGCACCCTGATAAATCCTAAATTCACTTCTCCAAGCCCTCATATCTATCCAGAGCTCAGGACTGTCTCCCCCAGCTGGCTACATTTTAATGTTCTTCAGAAGACTTATCATTGTGGGAAATGATATTTTTTTCTTATTTATCAGCTGTCTCACTTCTAAAATGCGAATGCCATATTAATGAATAGACCTTATGTTTTTGATTTTCCTTTCAGTTGCTCCATTTGAGGTAGTCTTGAATGCCCCATTATTTACAATGAAAATATAACTTTTTACCATTATCATGATTTGCCACATAAGTTCTACTTTTTTTTTTTTTTCACCTTTCCTCTGATGGTAGCATTCTCCTAGGGAATCTGTATTGGCCAACTACTGTTATCATTCATTTTTCTCTGTACTTACACACACATACACACATAAGAACACACCCAGACACACACACAAACATCTGTACATAGTCAGAATATTTTCTCACCATTCTTTTATAAAAATAAGTTTGTATCATTTACAGTATTCCATATCTTGTTTTTCTCATCCAGTGTTACCTTTCTTTTAGAGCTTCCTATATATGAATGCATATGTTATGAAGTGCATATATATGTGATGGTGGGCAAAGCATGGTCCCTACCTTCATGTAACACACAACCTAAAGGAATCAAAGTGTACATGACATCACTCACATTTGATAACTGCTCATCTACCCATGTGAGGAAATTCCAGGCTCTGTAAAAATAAGAATTCATAGTAGTAAAACTTTTGTAGTTCATGTCTATCTTTCTTAAGTTAGTGGGGACTCTGAGTGCTAAACATACATTGGATCTGGGTTGTATTACTTTCTCGTAGATGGTGTACACTGATCTTTGAGAGCAGTCAGAAGCTGGGGACTTGTGATATAACAAATCCAATTTTGGGTGGGCAGTCCACACGCAGCTTCAACGTCGAGTAGTTGAGTCCAGAAGTTCTCCACTTGGGCACTACTGGCATAACCTTCCTTGTTGTGGGGGTGTCCTGTGAATTGTGGGGTGTTCAGCGATGTCTCTGGCCTCCACTCGCCACACGTCAGCGTTATATCCTGTCTCCCGAATTGTGACAACCAGAAATGTCTCAGACATTGCGAATGTCTCATGGGGGGGCATGATCTCCCCAAGCTGAGAACAACTGGTGGAGGCAGAGAAGGAGGGTCTGAGTAAGAATCAGTAAGATGGAGACTGAAGAGACCTAATGAAGAGCAGTTGAGAAGTAGAGGTTGGAAAAGACTCTAGGAAACCCATTCAGTCTACTTTCTGAGATCATGGAAGTGTTCTGTATTTGTGCTGCTCATAAGATAGTCACTAGCCATGCTGTGGTCACCGAATGCTTGAAATATTGCTAGTGCAACTGAAGGGCTAATGCTAATTTTAATTTGATTTAACTTTAATCAGTGTTAACTGAAATTTAAATGGTCACATGTGGCTGATGGCTACTATATTAGATGGGGTAGTCTAGAATATTGTTTTATTCTGACCTGGCCATTAAATGCCTTTCTCTGTAGCCATGGGTTTGATGTTTCTGAAGTCTTTAGAGAAATAATAGTGAAACTCACATTTTAATAGTCAGCTGGAACCCCAATTTAATATTTGTAGAATATGAATAACATAGCATTTAAAATTTTAAATTAAAAGGTTCTGTTTTCTTTAATACTAAGTGATCAATTTATTATTGTAAAGAAATTGAAATATTATGATTTTTAGACATCTTTCCCTATAATTATAACACAGGTAGGTATAGGTATAACAAAGTCTTTATTAGACACCATATAAAATGGAGAGTTAAAAATTCTTTTTTTGTTTCCTCACTGTGGTTTTGAAAGATTTGCAACCTAATCAGTACGAAGGGAGATAATTCAAATTTGTTTGGGGGATATATGTATATTATGTGTGTTGGAGAAAGAAAAAGAAGAGAAAAGTCTTGCCACTAGGTCAGATATTTAGGTAAAGGTCTAGAAGAGGTAAACTAGAACAAGAATTTAGAAAAGGGAAAATTTATGTATAATATTATTTTTGTTTGTTTATTTATTTATTTTAGATTTTATTTATTTATTTGACAGAGACGCAGCAAGAGAGGGAACACAGCAGGGGGAGTGGGAGAGGGAGAAGCAGGCTTCCCACCAAGCAGGGAGCTCAATGGGGGAGCTCGATCCTGGGACCCTGGGATCATGACCTGAGCAGAAGGCAGATACTTAACAACTGAGCCACCCAGATGCCCCTCTTTTGTTTATTTTAAGCTTATAATGCTTCCCTAAGTCAACAACAACAACAAAAAAGGTAAAAAATGTGTAAGACTCTTGAATCTTAGCATAGTAATTATTTTACCTTTAAAATATTGTGAGATAATGGACATGTAACGTTATATTAGTTTCTGGTTTACAACATAATGGTTCAGTATAGGTATTTATTATGAAATGGTTACCACATTAAGTCTAGTTAACATCCATCACCTTATATACTTATAATTTTTTTCTTGTTAGGGGAACTTTTAGAATCTCCTCTTTTAGCAACAAATTTAGCAGAAATTGGAATTATGCAATACAGAATTATTAACTGTAGTGACTATGCCATACATTATATCCCCAGGACTTATTTATTTTATAACTGGAAGCTTGTATTCTTTGGCCACCTTTACCCGATTTTGAGTAAAACATATTAAGCTATGTAAAACTTTTTTACAGACTTCAAGTAATACCTGGAGGCTAAAATCATTTAACGGTTACCTGATCACTTGAGTTAATCATAA